TCCACTATCTGAGCACTTCCCCTCCATTAGGCCCTGTCCATCTTCTGGTCACTGCTCCTCAAGCCCTATTCTCTCTGCCCTGTCCCCACTAGAGCTCTTTGCCTTTTGCTTTGGGCCCATAGCCCATGTGATCGTAGATGGGCATTGGAGGGCGGTCAGAAGTGTCCTCCCCACAGGTCACCAGCACTTCCCGCACCGCCTTCAGTCCATTGATCACGACCACGGGCTTCCAGGCCATCTGCAGGCTGAACACGTCACCATAGCGCCGTCGAAGCTGAAGTAGAGGGACAGAACGCTTAGAAAATGGAGATCCCTAGCAGACTGGAAGATCCATGCACAGCACATATATCTCTGTGTGTGTGTGTATGTGTGTATGTGTGCAAACATGTGTTCATTTGCATGTTACACATTATAGAACCTTGATCCTGCCCTGTGCTGGACAAATGCTCTGACACTGACCTACATCTCTAGCCTAAGGTATGATACCTTGTGATTGCACAATTCTTTCTTCTAAATCAACAAAGTTCTTATAGTAGTGCTTATTCAGAGGTCACTTTGCCAGAGAAATGTCCTTCATACCCCACTATACATGAAGAAATTTCAGGTTCCTGTGATGGGCAGCAAGGCCTGAGACCTCACAGAAGCAAGAGATTATAGCAGACAGAGCCTCTCTCTCTACTTTGCTTTCCAGACTGACAGACTACACTAGAAACTTGACTTCTCCCCTCTGTCCCTGAGACCTTGCCCACTGAAGGGATCACAAAGGACCTGGGGCCTCCCTGACCTCTGTCCTGTCCAATCACACTCCACGCCTGCCTCCATGGCCTTTTCCATATTGAACCTCTGCTCTTAGAAAGTCCACAGTATCCTCAGACCCAGAAGCAACTGCCACAGGGCAACCACTAAGCCTTCTTCCTCTCAGTGGCCATTTTCCTGTCTATCCTGTTGCTTCTGCACCACCACGTACGGCTGGGGGCATCTTGACCTCTACTGCCCTCCACTGCCATCTCTCTTACCTTGTGTAAACTATACGACATGTTCTCGAAATCCACCTGGAGGAGGTTGCCCAGCCCAGGTAGGGGCACAGGGCCTGGAGGGTAGTGGGCAGTCCAGAACTTGCGTCGGTGCATCAGGTCCACCAGGAGCAGGAAGATGGCCGTGAATAGGACCACAGACCACAGGCCATCTCCAGTCAGCAGTGCCATGGCTTGCCCCTGCTTCCCAGGCTGGTTGGGGAAATGCCTGCTCCAGACACCTAGGATCAGGAAAGACACTCTGAGGACAGACTGGGCACCTGGTCCCTTATGAAGAAGAGAAGGCTGCACTTTGTTCTCTGCCTTGAGCCAAATAGCTGTGTTTACTGTTCAGTCAGGTTGTATAACAAGACGTCGGGCAAGTCCAGGGCAAGTCAGCCTCAGAGGTTCATGCTCTCTCTTCTCTCGATGGATATTTATCCATGGGACTAGCTTCAGCTTCTCCTCGGGGAGCTGTATACAGTGGTTATGTAGGGTTTGGCACTGTGAGCACAGTGGGCAGAGGATCAGTGGACCCTGCCTCAAGGTGCAGGATCACAAGGTATAACAAAATCAGTGTGTGATATGCCACACAGCCAGAGCTCTGAGGGTCCTGAGGACATTGTCTCAGAATGGGTATGGATCATTTGAGGCTCCACTGAACACTTGGTTCATAGGACATGAGGTTGGAGCACAGACACAGATATTTCTCCTGCTCCAAATTGGCCTGAATGGAGCTGGGAATGGGAGTCAGAACACCAGCCTGGGTTGTGGTCAGGAGTGAGGGGGAGATGGACAACTGTGCTCTGGTCACTAATAAGCTCAGGCTAGTAGCTTCCTCCTGGTTTGCTTCAGGACCCTCCCAGGATAACTTCTGAGACCTCGTGGCCAGGCCTGGATGCTAGCTGTCACACCTTCTGCCTCTCCTCAGGTCTCCACCTCTCTTCTGTGTGTCACGTATGATGACGTGAAAGAGAAGCCATGCTGCTGACTGGGTCTGATCTTCCTACTTCAGGCTGAGTGAGGCCCTGAGAGGTAAGTGCACTCAGTAGGTGAGGGGTGTCACACACTGTATGCTGTACAGGTTCCTGTGTGTCACCAGCTCGTGGGAGATGACCTGGATGCTCTGGTAACATCTGCCTGCTAGCACTGTTTGCTTCCCTTCCTCCTCAGTCCATGGCCCCTCAGCCACGTGAGCACTTGTGTCCTGTAAGATCAGTGTGCCTTCCATGGGGACTGGGGTCTTGGTATTCATGTCAGCTGCACAGGTGTGCCATGTCTACAACAGTAAACTGAAATGGAGTTCTTGGTCATCAGGGTTCAGGGGTGTTCCCAAATTTGCAATTCTATATATACCTGTCAACAGATGATTAATCATTGTCCCTTGGACTCCACTGGAGGAGGACAAATAGAACCTGGACATGTCTGTCCTGGACTGTCTTGTGTGCCCCTTCTCTTTGCTGGCTTCAACTGCCTGGCATCACTGGAGTGAAGACCAACAGTGAGTCCTAGAGACATTCCTAGCTCTGTGCTTTCTTTCCCTAGGCATGGTGGGAAGCGCAAAGCCAGTC